TTTGCCAATAAACCATCAAAGTTCAGTTGACATTGCTCTTATGCCTTGTGTCTCAGAAGACCTGAAACCTAACAGCGGCTAAATGAGGTCAAGTCGCGTCCACAGCACAAAGAAAATGGGTTGTGAAGTTTTGGATGTTTGTAACTTTTCGTGCACGTCTCTCTCTCTCTCTGTCACTCCCCTTCAAGCCTTGTTAGGTAGACTGTATACACTACACTACACTGCACTACACTACACTACACTACACTACACTACACCACACCACACCACACCACACCACACCACACCACACCACACCCCACACCCCACCCCACCCCACCCCCAACCACACCACACCACACCACACCACACCACACCACACCACACCACACCACACCACACCACACTACACTACACTACACTACACTACACTACACTACACTACACTACACATTTCAATTTTATATAGAAAGAGAATATAATCCCCACTGTTCTATATCACATGTACATTTATTGACATTTAGCTCACTTCAGAATAGATTTCACAAAGGCCCGTTACAAATGAATCCGACAATGGTACAGTTAAAACATGGGGGGTTTAACTGTATCTAGGAAAGGCACAATATAACCACAACATTTTCCAAAGCAAATAGTTATTAGGTATAGAGACCAACAAACGTATACTCACCCTTTGTTCAAGATCATCTAGACCGCTTCTATATTATATTCATGGTTTTAAGGTATATATTTCACGATCTGTGTATATAGTGTGTCCCAGAAAAATGTCTATGTCTGCCTCCCTCCCTCCTTGCTCCCTGAGACATTGTGAGTTGGAGGAAGGGAGGCAGGCAGGGAGGAGGCAGGCAGGGAGGGAGGAAGGGAGGCAGGGGGGGAGAGACGGAGGGACAATTTTCAGGTACACCCAATATTTAAACCTTAAAAGAACAGTGAACCATAGACGAGTAAATTTATAAAACGCTGAATAAATATCTCTATATAATCGAAGAGTACGAGATATGTTGGGGAGCACTTCAGGTTGGCCATCAGTCACCTGTTAAGAAATGTGGCCGGACAGATACTGTTACAGGTCTATCAATTACACTAGCCAGGTCGCTCTCCCTATTGAACATTATTACTCTCTCACGTCGCCACTGCGGTTTCCGCGACAGCAGCAGCAGCAGCATCATGATGTTGCATCCACCAATTAGTCCGGAACCGGGTTATTCGGCTGTCTGCGAACAGTCCGGTTTTAACCTTACCCAACAAACAACATCCACTCTCGAGGTGCGGTACGGTGAATGTCCTATCGTCCGACCTTGTATGCTGGATTGCACTATTTCACTATATTAAGGGGAGAGGGTGCCTTCACACACATATTCGGTGTGAAATATCTTCCGCCCCCCAGCGGAGCGCCTCTGTGAAGCAAAGCGCGGCATTCAAAACAACAACCATAATTGCCGTCGCTTCCCTGCTCTGCAATGGCTGGAGCAGAAGGAGAGAGATTTTAGACTCATTGGATCAGAGGAATGGCAGTGGAGCGGGCTTATGGCGAGTAGGCTCGCGCTCTATCTATTACACTTGCCAGGTCTCTCTCTTCCGTTTGGACATTATTTACTCCGTCTCTCTCTCTCGGCGCACACGTCGCCACCCTACTAGTTTCCGTCACAGCATATGCTGCGGCCTTTCAGTCCGGAACGGGGCTCCCCTTCGCCTTGCTGTCTGCCCAACTTAGCGGACTTGCGTTGGCTGATCACCCCATCTTCGCGTCTGTGCCGGCCTTCAATGCAGCGCCCAACCGTCTCTTGACCGAGATTCATTGCACTATTCCACGCGCAAACGGCTACCCTAAATGTGCATAGACAACGCTCATGGTTCAACACGACCAGAGCGCAGTCTGGGAGCCGAGTATACTAAAAAGAGAGTTTAGCAGCCAAAACTCGTCAAAGCACACGTTGGGTTACCCCATCACCTAACAACGATGGCGGTTCCCACCCGTGAAATACACAACCTAACCAATATTGGGCGACGATGGCGCTCATGAGCCCACGTCCCCACAAACAGTAAGAGAGAGTGAGAAAGAAAGAGAGAGAGGAGGAGATTGGCCAACGTGCGGTCCCTCGCCTAATGTCGGCTGGGTAAAGAGGAGCGGATAAGGGAGGAGATTGGAACACACGGTGGCGCTGCCGGCGCCGAGGATAGAAAGAGAAGGTGCAGTTTGATCTGATCATCTGGTTTGCTATTTCTCTAAGGCCAACGTGCGGTCCCTCGCCCAATGTCGGCTGCCTCGCTGGAGCAAAGAGAAGAGGAGCGGATAAGGGAGGAGATTGGCACACATGGTGGCGCTGCCGGCGCCGAGGATAGCAAGAGAAGGTGCAGTTTGATCTGATCATCTGGTTTGCTATTTCTCTAAGGCCAACGTGCGGTCCATCGCCCAATGTCGGCTGCCTCGCTGGAGGTGGGGCAAAGAGGAGCGGATAAGGGAGGAGATTGGCACACACGGACGTGCGGTCCCTCGCCCAATGTCTTCTGCCTCGCTGGGGCAAAGAGAAGAGAAGAGGAGCGGATAAGGGAGGAGATTGGCACACACGGTGGCGCTGCCGGCGCCGAGGATAGCAAGAGAAGGTGCAGTTAGATCTGATCATCTGGTTTGCTATTTCTCTAAGGCCAACGTGCGGTCCCTCGCCCAATGTCTTCTGCCTCTCTCTCAATCTCTCACTATTTTGGCCGCCGTGATAGGCGCCGCCAACAGCAGCAGCTACCTGGTTGATCCTGCCAGTAGTCATATGCTTGTCTCAAAGATTAAGCCATGCATGTGTAAGTACAAGCCGATTTAAGGCGAAACCGCGAATGGCTCATTAAATCAGCTATGTTTCATTGGATCTGTAAACCCACTTACTTGGATAACTGTGGCAATTCTAGAGCTAATACATGCAATTGGTCTCTGACCGCAAGGGAAGAGCGCTTTTATTAGTTCAAAACTGGTCGGGCCCCGGTCCGTAACCCACCTGTGGTGAATCTGAATAACTTCGGGCTGAGCGCACGGTCTCCGCACCGGCGCCGCTTCTTTCAAGTGTCTGCCTTATCAGCTTTCGATTGTAGGTTATGCGCCTACAATGGCTATAACGGGTAACGGGGAATCAGGGTTCGATTCCGGAGAGGGAGCCTGAGAAACGGCTACCACATCTAAGGAAGGCAGCAGGCACGCAAATTACCCACTCCCGGCACGGGGAGGTAGTGACGAAAAATAACGATGTGAGTCTCATCCGAGGCCTCGCAATCGGAATGAGTACACTTTAAATCCTTTAACGAGTATCCATTGGAGGGCAAGTCTGGTGCCAGCAGCCGCGGTAATTCCAGCAATAGCGTATATTAAAGTTGTTGCGGTTAAAAAGCTCGTAGTTGGATCTCAGTTCGGACTGGCCCGGTGCACCGCCGGTGTTTACTGTGCGCTCGAACAGCACGCCCGCCCGGCTTCGCCGCGGGAGATGCTCTTTGTCGAGTGTCCAGTGGCCAGAAGTTACTGAAAAAATTAGAGTGCTCCAGAAACAGGCTATTTGGGCAAGCGAATGGTGATGCATGGAATAATGGAATAGGACCTCGGTTCTATTTTGTTAGTTTTCGGAACCAGGAAGTAAGCCGGCTAATCCGGAACAGGCAGAGACATTCGTGTACTGACGCTAGGAGGTGAAATTCTTGGACCCGTCGCAAAGACGACTTCTGCAAGCATTTGCCAAGGATGTTTTCATTAATCAAGAACGAAAGTTAGAGGTTCGAAGGCGATCAGATACCGCCCTAGTTCTAACCATAAACGATGCCAACTAGCGATCCGCCGGCATTATTCCCATGACCCGGCGGGCAGCTTCCGGGAAACCAAAGTCTTTGGGTTCCGGGGGAAGTATGGTTGCAAAGCTGAAACTTAAAGGAATTGACGGAAGGGCACCACCAGGAGTGGAGCCTGCAGCTTAATTTGACTCAACACGGGAAACCTCACCAGGCCAAGACACCGGAAGGATTGACAGATTGAGAGCTCTTTCTCGATTCGGTGGGTGGTGGTGCATGGCCGTTCTTAGTTGGTGGAGCGATTTGTCTGGTTAATTCCGATGTGAGCAGACTCCTGGCCTACTAAGTGGTCGGCGGATCTCCAGAAAATGGTGGCCAGTTCGCAACTTCTTCTTAGAGGGATAGCGGCAATTCTAGCATACGGTCGAGCAATAACAGGTCTGTGATGCCCTTGGATGTTCTGGGCATACAGCAGCATCTACACTGAAGGGATCAACGAGTTTTCCCCCTCCGAGAGGAGCGGGTAACCCGTTCAAAGCCTTTCTTGATAGGGATTGGGGCTTGCAATTGTTTCCCATGAACGAGGAGTTCCCAGTAAGTGCAAGTCATCAGCTTGCGCTGACTACGTCCCTGCCCTTTGTACACACCGCCCGTCGCTACTACCGATTGAATGATTTAGTGAGGCCTTCGGACTGGCGCTCTTGGATTGTAGGCCCCGTTGCCCGCGAGGGTTTTCTGGGGTCGTCGCCTCGAGCTGACGGAAAGATGTCCAAACTTGATCATTTAGAGGAAGTAAAAGTCGTAACAAGGTTTCCGTAGGTGAACCTGCGGAAGGATCATTAACAGAGAGAAAGAGAACGGGGCGCTCTTAAAACTACTACTCTCCTGATTTGGGCGGTCTCGGGCTCTGCTCTGGCAACTCCAGCAGGGAAAGAGGACAATCCCGGCCCCCGCACCAAAAATAGGTACCACCACGCTGTAGGTGGACCACACTCGGGCGAGAGCGCGAAGACCGGAGGAGGAGGAGGACGGACGGGGCTTTGGACGGCTGCCCGTCCGTTCCTTACTACCGGCGAATAAGCCTCTTGACCCAAAAAGAGTGAAATTCAAGTGTCAAAAAACAACAACAACAAGCCGTCCGGCCATACCCAAACCACAAACTTGGGCTATGTCTGTCAAACCCTTTCATTGAGACTCGACCTGTGATGGTTAGTCGCAAAAAGACCAAATGGCAAATACAC